ACACCCGGCCGGCCGGCCCCGGCCCTGCCCAGTGGGCGCCCCGCCCCATCCCCGCCGCAGGGCAGGCAGCGCCCCAGGCCCGGCTGCGAGGAGCCCGGGCGGGGAGGCTGCGCGCGGGGCCGGGCCCTCGGGATCCTTGCCCCCTGCTCCCCGGGACAGCCGGCTCCCGCCCCAGCACCCCCCTCACAGCCAGACTAGCAGCGTGTAGGTTGCTAGTTAAACAAGGGCATTTCCATTTGGTAATTGATGCAATTACGCCGCGGTGGGCACGGGCAGGCTGAGCTCCAGCCAGCCATCAATCACCCTCCCATTGACCTGTCAAAGCCCCGCACCCCGCCCCCCCCATTGCTGGGGCTAATAGAGAAAAATAGATCCCCGGCTCCTCGTTAATGAGGGAGGGGAGGGGAGGGACCCCCGAGGCCGGAGCTGTCTGCCCTCACGCGGCTCCGGGCTGCCCTCCCCGGGGAGCTGCCAGGGTGCTCACCCCTCCCCCGCGCGGGCACGGCCGGGGGCAGGGGGAGGAGGAGGAACTGGCTGGATCGCAGCCGCTGCCACACTCGCCTCGGATGCAAAAGTTGGGCCACGGGAGTGCCAGGCACCGGGACAGGCGCGGGGTAGAGTCCGGCGCTATCCTGGCTGGGGGCAGGCTGAAGCAGTACAGACCAGTCACTTCCTAACCCCCCCCCGCCCCACACACACACACACACACACACTTATCTACCTGCCAACGCCATTTCTTCCCCTTTTCTTGGAGGCTCCAGGGACATTAGTGTCTGTGTGTGCGCGGGGGGGGGGGGTCTTACACTGTGTTCTCTTAATGACCGCAGTAAGTCCCCCCCACCCCCTTATTTCTTTTTCTAAATCGCATTTGGATTGTGCTTTAAAAAAAGCGACAGGGAGAGAGAGAGGGAGAGAGACCAACCGCAAAGCTTTTCAGGTCCCTGCCTTTGACGTGCATCACAGCACAACATTAAAACAACATGAAACAAGTGTTGAGTGCATCTTAGATGTTAGAGATGATTGGCAAAGATTGTTATATCCCTGATGCTGTCGTTTCGGGATTACTATGACGTCACTTTGATACTCTTCCATGGATGAATGCTAAAGAACTATAGAGCAGAAAATAATACAACAAGCAGGCTCCATATCTTTGCAAGCCTTACGTTATTTCCCCCCTTCTTTTAAATCCCCCTTTTCAGTTAAACCTTCTATACATTTGGGTGTTTCTTTTTTATATATATCTCTATATTTATATATAAACTTATATCTAAAAGGAGGATGGGAGGTGGGGGTAACCTTTTCCAGGCTTCAAACCTTATGCCTCAGATGCCTGGCTGCTTTTCTTAAGTGCAATCATCCATAATTGAGAAAAAAAAAGCCATACGTGGAAATGTGTATGCGAGAAGGTGCATCCTGAAGCAGGGTTCAGTTGCAATCGATCTGGGAGAAAAAATAATATTGCCTATGGTCCAAAAATAAGGAGCAGCTATGTCCTTCTCTCAGTTCGGATACCCCTACAGCACCACTTCACAGGTAAGACAAAAGTGAGTAGCACTCACTTTTGATCAGATTCTGCTGCTGCTGCTGCACTCCAGATGTCTTGTTTCCTTTCCCCCCTTCCTTAGAGTCTTTTTTTTTTAAGGGCACATCTGGAGTCTTCTTTTTTTAAATGTGTGCGCGCGTGTGTCGTTTGTGTTATGCTATGATTAAATAAATAACCCTCAGTTTGCAGGGCAGGGAAGCTGATTTTCCTCCCACTGTTCAATTTTAAGTGCAAGAAAAAAAAAGCCTCGGTGCAGCTGATTTACAAATCTGTATTGATCTATGTTCCTCACTTCCAGCTTTCAGTAGAGGCGAAGCTTTTGCAGAAGCTTTATTCTTTCCTCTGTGATGTTATCCTCGAGCGCTAGTGGCTGGGTACCTGCCGAAAGTATTCGGGCATAGCTGTCTCGTTTTGTGGGGTCTTCCGATGTATTAGTTCTGTGTGTAACTTGCCTCTTCCATTCTCCTCCACCCTACCCCCATATGTCCTTAACTGCATTTTTTCTAAGAATAAGTCGTTTCTTGCCTGGAGGCTTCCAAACTGCCCTCAAATTACCTAAAAAATGCGTCTCTACCGTAAATTGATCCATAATGTATTTTAGTTGGATTATTTATACCCCGGGATCACAGCAAGATTTTTCCTCGGGAAGCTGGCTTCTTTTGCCTTTAAAATTAAGGAAAGCTAATGCCTCTGACTGCATTATCTGACGTATTTAGTGTTTGGTCTATGGTCGAATTAACGGCAAGCACAACTTCTTGCCTTTAAATCAATGGAAACTGAGCGATGGGGGCTGAGGAGAAGCGAGAAGCAGAGAGGGGCTGTAATTTAAGTCTGTTTTTTCCAAAGTTTGGATGAATCGCTCCCACGCCCCCACCCTCCCTTTCTATTTATTTGAAATTTCCCATCATTAGTCGCCTGCCTGGATGTTGTCCCTGCTCCACGCTCGTGCTGCGTCTAAAGTAATCGGCGTGAACCTTCTCTCCCCTCCCCAGTTTTTTGTGTCAGCCAGCCCCAGTACGACTTGTTGTGAATCTGCCTCCAGATCCGTATCGGATGTTACCTCTGGATCTGCCCAAGCTGCTACTCTTTGCTGTCCCTCTTATGAGAACAGGCTGCTGGCCAGCACCAGGACGGAACTCAATGCAGCTCTGGGGATGTACACTTCTCCCTATGCAGCCGCCGCAGCGAGCCAGAGTTATGCCAACTACCTTCCCTACAGTGCAGACCCGTCCACTCTCTACACCACGCTGGTGAGTAGAAATACAAGCACCGTACCCAGGTGATCTTGTCAGTATGTTCTCTATCCCTGTAACTTTGGGGAGGGATAAAGGGGAGGGGAGGGGAGGACAGCCCTCCTGCAACAGGCGACCAACTTGGGCTTCTGGATGGAGTAACAGAGGAGAAAATAGCCAAGAATAATGGAATGGGCACAGTTATCCTGGGGGGAAAGCAGCAGCAGGCATCTCAGCCCGGCAGAGATGCAGAGAACCAGGGTGAGCGTCAGGGGACAGGAAAGCGGGCAGTTTCCACAAGTAGAGGGGTTTCGGATTTTACCACCATCTATCTTAATGTCACAAGCTGCTCCTTCCCTTCCAGAACCCGCAGTATGAAATTAAGGATGGCACCAGCAGTTTGCACTCGGGAATCGCACAGCCTGCTGCCTACTACCCCTACGATCATTCCTTAGGGCAGTATCAGTACGACAGGTAAAACCCCTTTGATCATTTGAGAATAACATTAATATCCCTCTGTGATGCAGCAACAGACATCAAAAAACCCCGGGATTTTCTAGCTGACAAATGTTATACAAAGAGTCCACGCGCCCAGTAACAGCAGTCACCTAAAATAAAACTTTGCAGCTAATCTCAATGCTAATTGCAATGGAATGAAGTGTCTAGGAAAAGGCAAATTGGATTGGCAACATCTGCTACTAAAGTGGTGACACGTGGTGCTCCAGTGTTAAAACAGAGTGTAATACTTTACACTTCACACACACAGGGTTGAATTACCAAGCGGGGCAGGATGCTAACGTGGGAGCCCCGGCTCCAGCTAGCTAGCTGAGTAGTAGCAGAAGATGCTCCCTAGGACAAGAGCAGAGTCATTTTAAGGAAAGCCACTTTTTTTTTTTAATGCACGCATTATGTTTAAACAATCTTACAGGCAAGTTCCTTTTGGGTAACAAATGCTGGTGACATGTTCCCTTAATATTTCCCAGCAGGTATGGGACCGTGGATTTCAGTGGTTCGGCTAGACGCAAAAATGCAACTCGAGAAACAACCAGCACCCTTAAGACCTGGCTGTATGAACACCGGAAAAACCCTTATCCCACCAAAGGGGAAAAAATTATGCTGGCCATCATCACCAAAATGACTCTGACTCAAGTGTCCACTTGGTTTGCTAACGCCAGGCGTAGGCTCAAGAAAGAAAACAAAATGACCTGGTCTCCTAAGAACAAAGCAGGAGAGGAGAGAAAAGAGGAAAACAAGAGAGAAGAGGAGGAATATGGCTTGGAACCTGAAGGCAAAGGTGGGTGGGAAAGGCAAGCTAAGGAGAGGGGTTGAATAGGCAAGTCTGAAAAGGTAGAAGAAATGGAGTATTTCCTCTTGTTTTCCTGAAAGCAGCAAACGTGCTTTAAAAAGCAAGGGAAGGGACAGGCCCCATCTAAGAATAAGAGACAACAGTAAGTCCCAGCTCTGGAGGAAGTTGCGTTTAAAGTCATCAGATAACAGCATCTTCCTTTCCGCGCACCCCTATTAGTGAGTAACTAATCTTGCCTGGCAAAACCTCCCCCATGCCCTTTCACAATTTCGCTAATTCTTTGTTTCCCCTCCCCCTCCCCCTTTCATTATTTTGAAAAGCAGATCAGAAAAGCTGCAAGGAAGAAAAGGAATTAAGACTGAGTGATCTGGATGACTTGGACGAGGAGGAAGCTGAGAAGCTAGACGGGGACCGAAAGGGCACCCATCAAGAAGCCTCCAGCCTCAGCACCGCCTTGGCTGAGTCTGAGAAAAGCGACTGCAGCTTGACGCCACCAAGCAGTTTTCACACTTTCCCCTGTACCAAAGCCAGCTCAGCAGCAGCAGGAGACTTCTTAGAGACGGTGGGCCAAAAGCCAGGCCCCTTAGTGGGCACTATGAGTCAAGTGCAAGAATACGAAACGACAGAAAAGCCCAGAATCTGGTCTTTGGCTCACACGGCAGGTGCCAATGTTATAATTGGCCCCAGCACCCCTGAACCAAGGACGGTGAGCCCGGACTGCTTGCTGCTCAGAGGACGGCACCCTGTCCCTGGGCACTGCGGTGAAGGGAGGCCCCTCGCCAGTCTAAGAACCCAGCCTGGTACTGACAGTGCGTTTGAAGAGCTGCCCCAGGCCACCAAGATATTCAGAAACTCCGCTTTCAACCTCCAGTCAATACAGCTGAACTGTGCTTCCTATCCAGGCTTGGGGGAGACGTGCCAGTATTCCTCAGGAGCTGAAGGTATCCGGACTTCCATATTTCTCTTCGTCCTGAAGGGGGTAAAAATCCTTGAGTGATAAAACCATGCAGCTCTGCCGAAACAGCCCAGTCTCTTTTCCCCGTTAGTGGTAATGGCTGTTTCTATTCCACCACGCTGGTTTGCCTCATTAAACTGTGTCCCAGTTTTGGGGGGGGGGGTAATTCGCTGCAACACAGAGCTGTCTGCTGCCCTAAATATTGTTTTTGCAGATACTTTCCCCAATGTCCTAACCACTCTAATTACTGTAGCGCAACCCGTTGGTGGTTTATCAGAGCCTGCCCTAGGTTTCAGGACGCTGGAAAGCTTGTTGGCCTAGGGAGGAAGCAGGCAAGCGTATATGTGTGAACTGCTGACTGTGAACTGGTTGTGTCTGCACGCAGGGTTTGGGAGAAATGTGAAACCTACCCAAGGAGCCATAGATCTCAGTGAAGCTTGCCTAGTACAGCATAAAGAGAAACTGAGAACAGCTTTTAGGCCAGTGCTGAAGAGGTGAGGTAGGTGATTGACTTTCCTGCACTACATCAGGTTATGGTCTTGTCAGTGGGTCAGTAAAGAGAGGCTGGGCTGGGTCTGCAAGGGGGGACCCTGTTTGGTCTCAAAGCCCGTTTCAAACAGCTGATCGAGGGTGTGTGGCGCTAACACCAGTTTGCTCTTTTCCAAACAGCCGCAAACTTAACAACTCCGGGTTTTATCTTTTAGTACAGAGGTTACAGACCGAGGCTGGGGCTAGATTGTGAAGCCAGGATGAGCAGGGGAGAAGATAGTAACGGGCTCTGCTTTTCAGTAAGATTTCTTCCAGGCCCAACAACTTTTCTAGTAAATGCGTTTGAAATGTTACTTGGAGCACGCACTAATTGGGTCCAAATGTAGCGAAGTGCCTGGGGGCACTGCCTGTGCCTCAGTTCAGCATGTCGCACTCCTGTTCTGTAGGACAGGAGGTGACTACGCCCGTCCCCGCTCTGTAGCTGGGGGTGTAGTTGAAGTCTTTAGTCTCTTAAGGGGCGGAAGCCCCACTTGACCAATGCCAGTGCAATTTTCATCACCTTTCTTTCCCTTTCAGCAGGTTAGCCTCTGTCTTTCTGAGAATCCTGAAGATGGTTCTCAGTCTGCGTCTTGGCTTAAAACAATCCTCCATGAACAATGATGATCTCCACTCCTTGAAAGCATTAACTGTGACTCTGGCTTCCCTCCCCCTGTGATGGGGAGCCGTCATACCAATTGCACAACTTGCTTTTAACAAATGGATGGGACTTAACACACAATCGGAAACAGGACGGAGGAACATTCTAGACCTTGTCTCATGCACTGGATCATTGTAGTTTCGCACAAGTTTACAAAACAGTACTCCTTCCCATCTCTGAGTCCACTGCAAGCCACATCGTCCTCAATGTACAACTACTTTGTCATTTGTTAAACCCCCAGTGATTGTCTTTACCAAAAAAAGCCAAACTTTTTGCTTTCTTTCACCCACATTTGCGTCTTCCTTTAAACTACTACTTTCATTTTCTTTTCTTCCTCTGGTACAGTATCTTTGTAAATCATAATGTCTGTGTTTGTTCTGGGGAGACAGAGAGAGGTATGGTTTAAGTTAATAGTGCAACATGCAAGGCTGTTTCTTTTCTGTCATTGTACAAGGATATGGCTGAAAGTATTTTTAAGAGTCTCTAATTAAAGCGGATCAGCTGAATGGTATGAATCCGTCTTGTGAACCTGTAGAACTGGTAACCTCACTCTGAGCTGCTCACATCCGTGACAAGTAGGGCGATTGATTTCCCAAGAGTGCTGGATTTCTCCTCACCCCTACTCCTTTAAAAAATAGTTTCCCTCCCCCTTGCATACTGGGACAAAAAAACCGGCTGGGTACCCCTGGAAGTTGGAAGTCTAGCGACTGGATTGTAGTAGCAAAGTAGGACATTGTTAGTGGGTCACATCACCACCATCCAGTTTAAAGAGCAGTGCTGTGCTTTACAAGACAGACAAGAAAGGGAAACCGCATCTCTGCATTGTTTCTTTTTAATTAAAAGTGTCATCAAACACTTTCTTGTCGGACTAATAAACCGCGCTTAGATGAGGAAAGAATGTTTCTTTGTTTCTAGAAGTAGTGGCAATAATTTAAATTAATAACTGTAGTAATTAAGAGGTCATCTATAGATCAACCCGATACCAGCTATTTCCAAGTTCACCAGGGTCACCATTTACATTAAGTCATTTGTGGTCAATAGAGTCCAATGAATTTTACCTTAATAAATCAGGGAAATCAATCCTCAATATCGAGTAGGCTTCTGTGTGTTTACCAAAGGCCACCAAGACAAGTGGGACTGCGGAGGTGGAGGTCCTCTCGTTGTGTGACCGAGAAGTGAAGCATGGAATGGGGTCGGGAAAAAATCAATGAGGGGGGAAATCTTTGGAAGTGGCGTGTAGGCAGTGCTTTAGGAGCACGCGTGCGCTTTCCCCGCCAGTGTGCACGGGCGGAGATTAGGGTCTCAAGGAGTTGTTCCCTTTGGGCAGCACGTCTCACCGACTCTCCCGCCTCCCTGCCCGGTGTGATCTCAGCTGGGAGCGGGGCGGAGGCTCCTCTCTCTATTCTTGCGATTGTAGTTGAACCCCTCGATTCGGACCGGGTTGCTTTGAGGTTGCAAGGCATGGCAAACGGCTGTCTGCCTGCCTTGGGTCGAGGCCTTCCTCTCCAAGTTGCCTAAGCGAGGACCGCAGGAAATGCCCCTTTGCAAAGCTGACCTGCAGATTGCGATCATATAATCACGGCCAAGTAGGGTTGGCAGGGCCCTCAGGGGGTCATCTAGTTCACCCCCCTGCTCAAAGCAGAACCATTCTCAAGTGTATCATCCCAGCCAGGGCTTTATCTAGCCGGGTCTTAAAAGCCTGCAAGGATGGAGAGTCCACAGCCTCTCTGGGTAACCTGTTCCAGCGTTTTGCTACCCTCCTAGTGAGAAAATCTATCCTAATATCTAACCTAAACTTCCCCTGCTGCAGCTTGAGATCTTG